GCACTGGCCTGGGTAGACATGTGCCTTTGGTTTTTCAGAGCTTCATGTCCTCGACAGGGACCTGAGGAGGGTCCAGGTCCCGTGCTGGGGTGCAGGCCACCCCGGGCTTGATGACGCATCTCCTTGCTTGGGCCCAGGTCCCCAGTCCCAGCACAGAGAGGCCCTGCTCAGACATGTCTCGCTGCTGCAGCGGGAGAGGCCAGTGGAAGGAGTGCCTGGGGGTCTGAACCACAACCAAGGCTTGAACCGGTTGATGCTGGCTATGCGAGATATGATGGCCAACTTCCACTTCAATGACCTGGAGGCGTCGCGGGAGGACAACCCCAGGGGGAGGGGGACTGGGACTGAGCCACTTAGGCTGCTGCGCCCAGCACTGTGTAATTATGTTCCTGATTCTGTTCTGGTCTGTATTGACCAGTCCCCTGAAGTAGAAGTGCGGGATGTACCGTCTGCCGTGTCTTCTGTTCCCTGCAAACATGGATGGGTTTCTTCCCTGTTGCGGGGGCTCCTCCTCCAACACTCAACTCCACCTCAGCACTCAGGAGTCCAGAGCCAGCCCTGGCCCATGTGCGGCCCACACCGGAATCTGGAACACAGGGCTCCAGGGGGATCCCTGGTGGTGTGGGATCTCCAGGCTTGTATTGAGAAGAGATGTCTACATGGCTGGCCTTCAGGCCACAGCCCAGTTCTTTTCGAGCAGTTGGGGATAATGTGGGGTGGGTCCCTCAGCTGGACACTGCAGCCTCTCCAAACTTGTGAGTTTTGAACTTTCTGAGCACACATTCTACCTTGGAGCTACATCCCCAGCCCGGTACTGATTAGGAAACTGGAGGGCTGAGACGCAGCTGAGGGGTAGAGCACTGGGCTGGCTTGTACAAGGCTCCAGACCCATCCCCATCACAGGAGGGAAGGAAGGCAGGAGGGAGGGGAGGAGACAGGGAGAGAAGGAAGAAATCTGCGAAGCTTCAGGGGCAGTGTCCGGAGGTGAAGGAGAAGCCCAAAAAGCAAGTTTAGGAAGAAAGTTGTTGAGGGTAGATTGGGGGTATAGGACAGGTTAATGGACATTTGTTCTGGGGATAACTGGGAGCTCCAATAAGACCCCCAAGTTGGCTCACAGCTGGCCAAACAGCCAGGGCACACCAGAGCCTCAGCGTCATTGTGCCTAACCACTGGAGGGACAGATCATGTGACCCAAGCCAGGCATGTTGGCCACACCTGTAATCCTGTAATCCCAGCAACTGTGGAGGCTGAGGTCAGGGCTAGGGATGTAGCTCAGGGGTCGCATGTTTTTCAGTCTCTAGTAACTAACAGAGGAATATCCTGTCTAGTTCTGGAAAGGTCAGGAAATTGAGGGGTTGTGAACTGTGCCAGTTCTCTCCTGGGCCCCCTTCAAAGTGCTGATCTTCTGCCCCAAGAGGGGCCATGAAGAGGCGCAGTCCCAAATTTCAATGTTGGCCTAACGGGGTTTGGTAGGGGATTGCACCCATCTCCAGGTTGGGCAGCACTCGAGCTTCCACAGCTGGGGTGGTCTGTGGGGGCAATGTACTGAGAAAGGGTTTGTTCTCTGAAAATGACAGGCAAGCAGGGTACCCTTCCTCTTCCTGCCTTCAATCCAGATATGTGATATCTGGAGCCACAGCAGTGATCCTGCATCCAGGAGCCAGGGAACTCTGAAATGGATGGCCAGCACTCTAGCATTAAAGCAGAGAGAAGGGCCCT